CAGTTTACATGATGGTTCCAAGATTGGGGGACTCTGACTACCCAAGGGTGAAACTCAGCTCTGCTGCTCCCTAAGTTTGCCTGACCATGGGCAAGTTAATTACCTCATAAGCTTTGGTTTCTTCATTTGGAAAATGGTAATAACAATAGTGATTTCTTTCTTTCTTTCTTTCTTTTTTTTTTTTTTTTGGTGGTACTGGGATTTAAACTTAGAGCTTTGTACTTGCTAGGCAGGCACTCTGCCTCTTAAGCCACACCTCCAGCCCAGCGATAATGATTTCTTTAGAGTTCAGTGAGGTAATGCACATAAATGCTAGCACCATGCTTAATTTGTGCAAGTTTTCAAGAGAGCTAACCTGCTGCTGTTACTGGACCTACGGTGTTAGGTCCAGAGAACCACAGAGATCAATTGAGCCCTCAGTGATAAGGCTGTGTTATGCCTTTTGGGGGCTAAATCACAAAACAGTTCATTGGTGGTCTTAGAATTAGAGCACTGTAGGAAGTGGTTTTCAGAGAGAGAGGAGAGAGAGAGAGAAATGTTTAGAGAACAGAGCAGATATTAGAATGAGACTTTTTGCCTGAGTCATCTTACAAACCCTGTTACTTATGCCCAAAATAATTTTAGGGAGAACAATCTTCTCAGATTTGTCAGATTGATACATCCAAACCCTGGGACATTCTGTCTTTCCTTCTGCTATTCTTAAGGTGCTGTCTGAACTACAGAGCCAAGGGAAAGTTTATTTTAGTCACTTCTCTTTGTCCCTGAAAACCCCTGGCCAGCATCAAGTTTGCTGTGATATCCAGTAATATTCACCCAGGATTGGGATCAGCTCTCTCTGCATGGATCTTTGGCAAAGAAGGAAACATATGTCAGCTGCTATTGTAGGTTTCAGGACAATTTAATCCTTTGAAGAAGAGTGGGTGTCCTTAGATGTGAGATGGGGATGAGCAAAAGGTGAGAGAGCAAATATCTTATTGATGGACAGTCAGGAGGTTGTGTGACAGCTACAATGCCTACGTTCTAGGGAGCCCTCAACACCCTCACCTCAGGGAACTTCTGTAGAAGTAGAAGTAGTTTGGAGCCCGTTTGGGGTTATAGTTCACTGACATCGTATCTACTGCCTTTAGATGATGGATTGCTCCTACCCCTGTTGACATGCAGGTCTTTGTCTTCTTTTTGTCATTTGGTGGCTTCCTTCTGCTTTCTTGATTCCTGAAGCATCTACATGTGTTTCACCCACTTATCCCTCTTTCTCCCACCATTGGAATCCATACTGTCCAGCTCTGAGAGGGACAGCTGCAGCTCAGTAAGGAATTTGAGTAAACACATTGTCATTTTCAGTCTGGTTTATATAACATTAAAACAGAAACCAAAAAGAATGAAGCAGCTTTATATGTAGTGATAGGAAGGTATGAAAGTTACCTGTACATGAAGAGGAATGCAAGACCCTTAGTGGTTTGTGTGGTATGCTAACATCTGTAGGGGAGACAGCCAATAAAAATGGATATACACACAGAGCATTTGATTTGCTTAGAATATTGATGAAAAGGTACACAGAGCTCAGGTCACTATCACAGGACGTGGTAAAGGGAGTGGGGTTGTTGGCAGATGGGTGGCCAGAAGACTTTTTGCTTCAAATCTAAACTCTTTAGCACCTTTTAGTATGTATCAAGTTCATCTGCTTCCTACTCAAAAATCATTTCGTGTATTTGATGTGGATAGATAAAATGGAGAAGGTAAGAGGAAAAGGTTATTTTTGTTTCTAATTAAAATCTTGAGGATGAAAAAAGCAAGTGAAACAGGACTACTTGCTTCACTGGGGGCATTTTGTCACTGAATGCTGTTCTTTTTGCCATCAAAGAGCATCTCAGCATCATCAGTGTGGCTATCAAGTGTCTAAAATGATAAAGAAATGAGGCTACTGACCAGGCTCGGTAGCAGAGCACCCCGGCCATGTCACTTCAAGCTGTGTTTTCCCCTCTGAGTTTTACAGAATTGACCTTGGCTATCCCCTCACCACTCTCCCTCCAAGACTCTGACCAGCCTCATGGTCCATCACTGGCTGTCTTTGTCCTGCTGAACTTGATCTTCACTCCTTTGGTCACTCACAGGTAGTTTTCTACTCAACTCACTGACAGGATTGATCAGATTAGTGTTTTTCCATATTTGGAAAAATTCTACTCACCTACTGGTAGATACATTTTTCAAAGGTTGTCTACTCCTGGGCTAACAGAAGTCCCTTTTGTCCTATGAGACTTTTCATCTCTGCTGGAAAATATCTGACTAAACAACTTAAAGGAAGGAACATTTATTTTGGCTCATGGTTTCAGAAGTTTCAGTCCATCATGGTGTGGTGGGCATAGCAGAGTAGAGCCAGGAAAAAAAGAGAGAGGGGGAAAGAGGAAAAAGGGAGGGAGGGCAAGTCTGTACTATGGGCTTTCTTCTTTTTCCTCTTTTATACCATCCAGGCCTTCAGCCTGTGGGATGGTGGTACCCACATTCAGGTTGAGTCTCTCCCACTTAATTAATCCTCTCTGGAAACCCCCTCATAGACCCATAGATTGGGCCTCTCAATCCAATCAAGCAGGATTAACCTTGGAAGTAGCCAGTCACAAATCCTGGCCTCTAGCATTTGTGACTGACCAGCCATATATTGGTCAGATTCATTCCAAGATCCCCTTTTTAGTCTCAATAATTTGCTAGAGTGGCTTGCAGAAGCACGTTACTAATGTTTCTGTTTGTGAGAAAGGATGTTATGCAGGGTGCAGGTGAACAGCCAGATGGAGAGATGCACAGAGTGAGGGCTGATGATGGTTATCACCTGTCCACTCCACTGCAGAGAAGTTCCACGAGGGCAGAGTCTGGTTCTGTTCATGGTGGTATGGAGTGCTTACCTTCTATACACAGTGCATTAGAGAACGGATGAAGTGGGAGCTCTCTTGGTAATTCCGGGAGGCTCTGGACTGGGTGTAGCTCCATCGCTTTCCATTTGAAGAACTGTCTTTAAGGCCAGGGAGACAGGAAGACCTGGGCACATCCTAGCAGATCCTACCTTCTGTTGTCTCTGTGTGTGCACAGTGAACGAGGCTCTGCGAGGAGAGGGTTTTGGTACTAAGTGAGAAGGGAATGGGCCATGCCAGCTCTTTGAGCCTCCCTCCCTGTCACATAAAATGTATCACGATAAAGTGTGCAATGGTCTGATGTCTAGTGCACTCATGTACTGTGAAGCTGCCACAACTCTCTAGTTCCAGAGCATCTTCCCTGCCCAGGAGGAAATCCCCTTCTTCCTCTCCTATAGCCCCTGGTAAGCACTAATCTACTTTCTATTTTTAGGATTTACTTATTCTGGATATTTCCTATAAGTTGAATCATACAACATGTGCTCTCTAGTCAATAGCATATTTGTCTTACAATGATGTCTTTATGTTGGAGAATGGGTCAGGACTTCATTCCTTTTCAAGGCTGAATAGTCTGCATTTTGTTATCCCTTCATCCATGATGAATTATTTTCACCTTTTTGTTGTTGAAAATAGTACTGCTGTTTGCATTTGTGTTCACATATTTGAATATCTGTTTTTACTTATTTTGTGTATATACCCAGGAGCGGAATTACTGTGCCATGGTAATTCCCTTTAACCAACAGGGATACTACTAAACTTCTACAGTGTGTACCATTTTAAATTTCCAGTAACAGTGCATTTCTGCACGTGATCACCAATAATTATTTTCTGGGTTTTGTTTTTGTTTGTTTGTTTTTTAATATTAAGCCTGGCACTGGGGACTCATTCCTGTCACCCAAGCTATGTGGGAGGCTGAGATCAGGAAGATCATGGTTCCAGGCCAATTTTGGGAAAAGAAAAGTTTGCAAGATCCCAACTCAATGGAAAATAAATTGGGTGTGGTTTTGTATGCCTGGCAACCAGCTATGGGGGAAACCAAAAATAGGAGGATTGTGGTCCAGACCTGCCTGAGCAAAAAGTAAGAGCAGACCAAATAAACAGAGCAAAGGAGCTGGAACTGTGGATAACGTGGTAGGGCACCTACCTTGCAAGTGTGAAGTCCTAAATTCAATTAATATTATTGTAGCCATCCAAGTGAGTGTGAAGTGGCATCTCTTCGTGGCAAGGATTTGGACTTCCCTAGTGGCTAATGAGCTCAGAAGTATCTCTTCATGTCTCTGGTTCCATTTGTGTATCTTCTTTGGAGTAATAGCTAATTTCCTTTCATTATAATTTTATATGAATACCTTTTTTCTCTTTTTTGATCACATGCTGCCCCATTTATGAAACAGGGCTAATCCACTCTGCAAGAAAAAGATTAATTTTGGGGAAATTATAGCACTGCTCAAATCTTTTGTTAGCATAGAGATGAAGTCCTCTCTTTGTCCTTTCTTGCTATCCTACTCCATTTTACAATGTAAACTTTAAGTTTATTTTCCAAAGTGGTACATTTAATTCAATTTTAATCTCCTTCCTTCCTTCCTGTACTGGGATTTGAACTCAGGGCCTTGTTCTTGCTAGGCACGTGCTCTACCATTTGGGCCTCTCCACCAGCACTTTTTTGCATTAGTTGTTTTTGAGATAGGGTCTTCCTTTATGTCAGGCTGGCCTGGATCATTGTCCTATTTATGCTTTCATGCATAGCTGGGGTGACAGATGGATACCACCATGCCTGATCATTGGTTGAGGTGTCGGGGGGGGGGTCTCAAAAACTTTTCCCCTGGGCCACCTTGAACCACAGTCTTCTTGAACTCTTCCTCCCGAGTAGATGGGATTACAGGCTTGAGCCACCACACCCTGCCTGATTTTAATTTTTTGAATTTTAACTTCTTTAAGTCCAGTCCAGCCTATCATTGTGCACTATGAGTTTTTTAGGTTTTTTTAAGTCATTGTGTTTCCTATGTCACGGGTTATCTAGGCAAGTTTTGCCTTTCTGCTGTGTTCGAGTCAGCAGGTGGCTCTTGACAATAGTTTTCATTGCACTGTTTGTTTCCTTTTCAGAAAAAGCTACCTTTGACAACACTGGCTCAGTGTTTGATGGAGGGGTCGGCCATTCTGGGAGATGACACACTTCTTGGGTAAGGTGACTGTGCGTGGGTTTGGGTCAAGTCCAGGTGAACCCTGTCCTTAGAAATGGGACTGGAACTCCTCCAAAAAGCTCCTAGTGCACCTGAGTTCTGGGTGGGAAAGGAGAAAATGTGGCACTGAAAAATCAAAACCCTCAGCTCTGAGGTTATAGTGTTTGTGCAACTGGTGAAAAATAATCAAAACCCCTACAGAACATCAGCAGAAACGGAGAAAAGCACTGCAGCCTTGCTGATTTTGAGCTCACAGTAAAACACATTAACACTGACTTCCTGAGAGTCAATAGCAGAATCCATACCCCATGGACTAAAAGCGAGAGGACAGTATGAAAAAAAAGGGTAGAGTAAATTGAATGGTAAACTGAAGCCAAGGAAAAGCACCAAATGCTATTAAAAAAAAAAGAGTAGTCAGAATTGAATAGAAAACAAATAGAACTTCTTAAAATTGAAATTATGCTGATAACTTTAAAACTTAGTTGAAATAAACTAGACATTGTGCACAAAATGGAGAACTTGTGAACTTGGAAGCAAACCTAATGCCAGCTGGTAGGACACAGGGAGCACAAGAGATAAGGGCATCAAGAGGCCTGGGGAACAGATACCATCCTGTCCAGGAGTTCCTGAAGAGAGAACAGGGAAGGGGAAGTTTGTGGCTGAATCCTTCTTTTCCACATAGGAAGAAACACACAAGTGTTTAGATTTAAGGAGCACAAAAAGTCCTGTTTGAGATCAATAAAAAGAAACTCACACCTGGACATACTGTAGTAGAACTATAGGTTATTAACAAAAAAGAAAGTTAATTACCAGAAAAGAAAGATAATTATCTATAATAGAGTAATTAAGCCGATAAACAAAATAAATGCCAGTACATAATGAAGGACTATGTTAAGTCATAAGTGAAAGTATAGCAAACCTACAATTTAATGATAAACTAAACCATTATTGTAAAATAAGGGGAAATGAAGAAATTTTCAGGCAAACCCTTACTATTTGCATAGTAAACTACTTGAAGTTACCACTTGCATATTCTTAACTTGAATGAATGGGTTAAGGCTTTAATGAAATGGTCTGTGTGCAGAGGAAAGTTATGAAGAGTGAGTAGCAACGTGTAACTTAAAAATTAATGTGTTGTGGGGAAGGAAAAACTTTGTTTCCCTTTGACTATCTTAAGTCCCTCTACTGGAGCTCGAAAGTCCCATTGGTAGCAGACAGCTTACTATGTCTGTGATCATATGTAGTGCACACTGACTGATGAGTAACAAGGGCTGTTATAGCATTTTGACTAAAGAATGCCCGTTTTTTGAGAAGTGACAAGACAAAGGGAAACAAGTCTTTTGAGTGGCAGATTGTGGGAAGGTAAAGATAGGGTGACTTGATGGAAGGAAAGACTAATTAGGAAAGTCTGTTATGTGGGTTCCTCTGGCATGGGGCTAATATGGGGCTAGAGTTGATGCCAGTAATTTACTTTTGCTCTTCCTGGTAGAAGGGGAAGGGGAACATCTTTGAAAATTTATATGTTGCTTTTAGGCAAATAAGGGAAGGCAAAGAGCTGCCTTTTTTTTTTTTTTTAATCTGCTTTTTCTCATTTGCCTTCTGCTCAGAATAATCCTTATGCCAAAGTGGCATATTTTGGGTGCATATCTTGCTACCCTTTTGTGTAAAGAAATAAAAACCAGCAATATAAGAATGATTAATTTAGGAATGATGATAAGCAAGTTGAAACTAAAATATGGGGCAGCAATAAACATGAAATACCAGAAGAGGAGCCAGTATTTCCAGCTTTTATATTGTTTGAAGGGGGGATAAAGATACATTACATTTACTAGTTGGTTGGTGGAGTTGGGAAGGATCTCACCTCAAGGCCAGGCAGGGCAAATGGTTTCAAGACCCCATCTCAACCAATAAAAAAAGCTTGGTGTGGTAGTACACACCTGTCATCTCAGCTATGTGGGAAATATAAATAATGAGGATCACAATCTTAGCATGGCCTGGGCATAAATATGAGACCTTCTCTAAAAACCAACCAAAGTAAAAAGGGCTAGGAACGTGAATGGAGTGGTAGAGTGCCTTCCTAGCAAGAGTGCAAGACCCTGAGTTCAACTCCCAATATCACTACCACCAAAATAAATAAATAAAGATACTGCATTTAAATTTATAGTCAAGTGTGTGTGTTAGGAAAGTAAGAATAAAATGGGATTAGAATATATTGCTTGCAAACCAGCAGAGAGATGAAAAAAAGAAAGAGCAGGAAAAACAAACAAAAAATGAAGAAGAAGAGGGGCTGAGAGAGAAGGGGAAATAAAGGAAAAGCATAATGACTAGGGAACTGATAAGGATGTGCAGTTCCTAAGTCTAGATCTTCGATCATCCCAGGTGGATGTGGAAGAAACTCATCCATTTAAAACATAACATAGAACATCTCAGGTGGAGAAACACGAAATCCCAATGCACAGTGTCCTCAGGAGGCACAGTAATGCAACAAGGCTGTCGGGAAAGATGGCAGACTAAACACCCATCTGAGTGCTTCTTTCCAAAATGCACTAAAACTACAATGCAGGCATTTTTTTTCTTAAAAGACTCACGTTCACAATGGCAGGAAAAGAAGAAAAAGGAGCACAGCAACATAAACTTTGTGAGGTGTAAGGTGTAAGAATGATGAAGAACAGACTGGGATGTGGCATGGAGGTAGAGCACTTTCCTAGTAGGTGAGGTCCTTGTTCCATCCCCAGCACCAAAAAAATAAATAAAATAAAAATTAAAAAAAGAGTGGGGACTGACTTGGCAAGTCCCAGAAAACTGAGCCCCAAGGCAGTAGGATGTGTAGAAATCTGACAGTGCACACCAAGAAATGCTGACAGTGCTCAGGAACTGGTGACTCCA